AGACCGTACAGCACCGCGGTCCGTACATAGGCTGCGGTAGCGAGAGGCGACGCGTGCCACGTGCTCGCAGACTACGGCGGGCGCCTCTAGAAGGCGGCTCTGCTGCGACCAGCCTCGACAGTCCTTTGTGCTCGCTTCATTCACGAAGAGTACCGTCGCCGCCACTGCATACCCCCATGATCCCCTCTGGCCTGCGCTCCCCCCCACCGCTGCGCTCCGGCGCACCCTCCCCGCGGCCGACGTTCGACACGGACCTGCTCCGCGCATATATGAAGAAGCTGTTGCAGACGACGCTGCAGACCGCCGCCTGGCCCGAGCCGCGTGATCGCGAGCGGGTGAAGGCGTGGATGAAGGAGATTGGCGAGCGGGTGAAGGAGCGGATGATAGGTGCGTCGCTCTTTCAGCTGTGCATGCGCTCGTCTGACGCGTATCGGTGCTTGCAGAAATTCAGCCGCGGGGGTTGTGAGTGCCTCGCTGGGGAGTGCGGCGACCTGGCTGACATCTTGTACTTTGTGCAGTAAATACATCGTGATGACACAGATCAACGAGAATTTAGGACAGGGGGGGCGGTGAGTGCTGCCTTTCGTAGTCAAATGTTGAAGTCATCGGCTGACTCCTCTCCTTCCGGCTCACAGCGCGGACATGGTGTGTCATTGGGAAGACTCAGATGCGGTGGCCCAGGAGGTCTATTCAAATGTGCGTACCCGACTGGCACTGACATCATACGCGTCCCGCACCGACCGCTCTGCGCTACAGAATTCCATAATTTGCGTCTGTGTTGCATTTGCCGTACGGTCAATATGACGTCCTACGCCGTTACGCTTGCCCCCTACAAGTACAAGTTGCATACCCCAGCAGTATTTTTGGAGATACCCCGTTCCATCTTCGCACGTACAGTACTAAAGTAGCCATCCAGGATCTTCCATACCGCCAGTGAAATTTTGGCTCGTGACATGCGCGAATGCGTCCGAATCGATTGAATGTCGTCATTGCCCCAGGCTCGG